AGGAACCAAAGGTCCTGCAGCAGGAACCAAAGGTCCTGCTTCAGGAACCAAAGGTTCTGCAGCAGGAACCAAAGGTCCTGCTCCAGGAACCAAAGGTTCTGCAGCAGGAACCAAAGGTCCTGCAGCAGGAACCAAAGGTTCTGCAGCAGGTGGAGAGCCAGGCTGAAGCTGGACCGACTCTGCCTCGGTTTTTTATGAGGAGGCGGGATCTCTGAGCTCAATGCTGCATCCAATGATTGATTGATCTTTATCCTGAATTAATAAACATTATTTCAGTCGCTCTTAAAGTCTGATTTAACTTCATCTGTGCTGCGGACGTCGGTCCTTCCTGATGAACGATCTGCAGCTGCAGGGTTAGAAAGGTCTGGTCTGCAGCAGCTGGACTCACCTGCAGGTGAAACACCTGAACCTCACGGCTCACTGATGGACCAATCAGCTCCTGAGCTGCTTTGCTGGATGATTGGTTGCAGAAACACCAGATTCATGCAGTGAATGAAGCTTCTCCCATCAGTCACACCGAGCCCAGCAGGCTGAATCTGACCGCCGTCCAATCACGTTACAGCTTTGATTGACGTGGCCTCGGGTGGGAATGGGAAAAGCTTCCAGTCTAAAGCGTCTCACTGGGAGAGGATCGGACTGGTTCCCAGCAGAGAAGGTCCTGCTGGGTTCTGATCTTCCTCCAGTCAGAACCACATCCATCCATCCTTTCACACAGTCACTGAATCCAAACCAGCTACCAGACCCTGAGCACTGATTGGACACAGCTGATTGGACACAGCTGATTGGACACAGCCCATTGGACAGCTGGCTGCTTGGCCAGCGAGCTGATTGGCCAGCGGGCCGCTTAGATCTGATTGGACGCATCCTGACCATCAGTAGCTGGTTTGGTTTCAGAGGAAACCTCAGCAGCTCCTGGAGTCTCTGGCTGAATCCCAAACCGCCTCCTAACCACTACCCATCAGTCTGACCTCCAGTCAGGTCTCACCTGTGGAAGGATAGAGGGGGGGGGGCTATAAACCAGAATGGGACAGAAAAGGAAAGTAGTCGTTGCTATGGCGACACAGCGACGCCCCCATGTGCGTGGCTGGAGCTCCGCGGCGCAGGGTGACATAACCTCAAACATCTTTCTTCATAAATTAAATCTATCCGGTTAAATCAAACCTTTCATTTGGGATCAATGGCGACTTGTGATTTTCACTAGTTCACTAGTTCACCGTTACACCTGCTGCCAGATTCCAGAGCGCCGCTGCAGCTACCAGATCTGCTTCCTGTCAGTGACGTCACGCTGCAGGATCGGCTAACGTTCCCACATGATGTAAAACACAGTGGTTGCCCAGACGACGATAACATCACGCAGCGTCCGTGTGGCGAGTCGGGAGCATCTGGAGCGTTAGCGTGTTTAATAACAGACTGTGATATAAAGAGCTGGGTAGCGCTGTGGCTAGCTGTTGCTAACAGGTTAGCCTCTTTTAGCTCGCTCAGTTAGCCACATTAAGCTACTTTTAACTTTGTTTCAACAATAACCGTTTTCTACGGGTAGAATAACTGTTTAGTCTAAAATCTCTATGAAAGTTTCATTTTTCCTCCTCTGATCTCAGATCTTAATAAAATAAACTCAGACTTTTAGTCTCCTTGTTAAACAGCAGAACTCTGATTGTTTTCTACTTTCAGCTAATCTAGATCATCAATGAAACGTAAAATAAAAGCAAATAAAGGGAATAATATGTTGAGACTCCAGAGAAGATCTGATCCTTAACAAACGGGTAACTAGTTTGTCCGAGTGGTGTTGCCGTATGATGACGTGATAGGAAGGGGCAGGGCCCCGAGCAGATCCGGTAGCTACAGCGGCACTGATTAAGGGCTCCGCCCACTATGTGGTTTGGTACGGCCCTTGATGAGGCGGACCCTCAGCAGGGACCCAGGGTTGGTGTTTAGGGGCCAGTTTGGGATCCAGCCTTCTTCTCTCAGCTTGATGTTCCTCCTGTGGCCACCAGGGGGCGCAGGGAAACCGGAGCAGAGCTGAGAGAAGCTAACGAGCGCTGAGGACCAGAGCAGGAGGGTTCCAGGTTTCACAGACCGAGGCGCCTTTAAAGATCTGCACTGAACCCCTGGAAGCCCCCGATGACAGCATTCAGCCTCCACTGCCCCCCCACCCCGTGCAGCCCCTGCCCAGTACTCACCCTGCCACAGTCCCTCCCTGTGTCTGTACTCACCCGGCCCCCATACTGCAGCATGGGCGCAGGGAGGACACGCCCCGTCACCTCCGTCATGTCGTTGTGAACGACGATGCCGAACTCCTTCAGGTAGGGGTCCGGGCCCCCGACCATGCTGTTGCTTTTGACCTGAGGAAGAGGAGGCGGGTTAAATCTGGCCGAGCTCAGCTGGGCGGCGCCTGGGGGGGGGGCCTCACCAGGCGGCTGATCTCCTCCTGCCTGTCGGGGGCTGAGCGAGCCGTAGCTTTGATCATGGTGGACGTCTGGTTGTCTGTGAGCTTCTTGATGCAGCGCTGACCCGCCACGATGTTACAGACCTTCAGAACAGGAAGCAGAACTTACTGACCCGCCGGACCGGCTGGGGGGGGCGGAGACTACGTGGCGTTTTCTCACCTCCAGAGGAAGGTAGGTGTGCTTCTGTTCCTGTCCCACCTGCAGGCAGGGCAGGTGGGGGTACTTGAGCTGCAGGCTGTACTTCTGTTTGAAGTACTGCGCCACGGTGCACTCCATGGCCTGGCCGTTCTCCAGCTGCAGCGGGAACCTGAGGGCGAAACAGCCACGCTGACGGGCCATGAACGGCAAAGGCAGGATGGAGCAGGGCGGCGCTTACGTTTGGTGGCTGGCCGGTCGGCGCGTCACGTTGCAAACGCGGTACTTCCTCTTCATCTGCCCGCAGTGGGTGACCTCCACCTTCAGACCTGTTCAGAGCGGCGACAGCGGATCAGGAACCTCATCCAGACGGAGCGACGAGCACGCCGCTCGGTTCTGATGCTACGCTCAGCGTCCCTGACCGGGTCCGCTACACAAACACAATCTGATTCCTCTCCATTTCTGAGCAGCTTTAGATGTTTCCCAGTAAACCAGCAGAAGCTTCAGCTGGACGATAAGAAGAAAACCTAACAGAAGCGTATATCTGGGCTTTAATCGCCACAGAACCGATTGTCCCAGTTCCTCTGAGATCCTCATGGCCTCTTAGAGACATAGAAAGACCATCTAAGCTTCCACAGTCACTTCATTAAAGGTTTCACACGATAATAAGCAATAACATCAAGGTTTGAAAACAGCATTTCAGTTAGAAGTGGCAGAGGACACCTAGTGGCAGAAAGTGGTAGTGCCACTGGCCACTTATTGGCTTTATGAAGAATAGAAGGTAGTTTAATAGAAATAACATCACAACATTATCTGCTTAGAGGTTATATAGCTACTATCAACAAATCATTTGACAAAAACTGGCAAGAAAAAAAAATAACTAAATGAAAAAAATAAGTTGTTTGCCGATAAACATCAAGAAAAAATTAACAAAAAAACGGCAAGGAGAATAAATAAAAAATAAAATAAGTTATTTAATGAAAACCGGCCTCTGCAGCCCCAAAAACAGCATCAGTAAAGCTGGGAGTCGCTCAGGCGGGCAGCTGGCAGGACAGACGGACTGTCACCATGGTGACCGATGGTGGCCACTTATTGGCAGATAAACTACTTTGTTCCATCAAGTAAATGTGACATTATAAAAGTTTTAATACAGGTTATTAAGCAATAACATCACAATATAAAAAAAATCTGCTTAGAGGAACTAATAATAAGTTATTTACCGAAAAACGGAGAGAAAAATAAAGTTTAGTTGATGCGGGAGAAGCTGACCTGCAGAGTCTAAAACACGCTTCATTCTGCAGCCGATTCATGTTTAGGTCAGGGGTCACCAACCTTTTTAAGGCTGAGGGCCCCTTCAAGGGTACGGAGTCATAGGAAGGGCTACCAACGCTGACCCAGGCACAGCAAGGGTCAAGGGTCACCTAAACTTCATTATACATTATAAACATTTTTATGTTTCCTTTAAGTTCTAATTGTATTTTAGACATTGTCATTTTGAACGGATTTATAAATTATTAAAAAAGGAGAGAAACAGAATAGAAGAACATTTCAAACTTAGCCCACTGGTGAATTGTTCTTTTCTTAGCAGTCTGAGGGCCCCCCATGTGGTCCATGAGGGGCCCCTTGGTGCCCGCGGGAACCACGTTGGTGACCCCTGGTTTAGGTGCTGCTGCCGTTTGCAGCAAGTCTTACAATTTAGCACCTTTTGTTCGACGTCCTCTAAAACCGAGATAAACTACGATGTTTTTGCCGTTTTCAGGCAGATTTTCCAGTCAGGCGAGAATTTTTTGGGTTTTCTGACCTGCAGCCTCTCAGCTACTGATGGAAAACGGGACGAGTCCATTGGATCAGACAGGAGCAGCGATGCTGCCTGATGTTCTCGCTCACCTGTGACCCTCTGCCTGACCTTATAGAGGCGCCGAGGCCCGGTTCCCTGACCCAGTGGACCCAGTTCTACCAGTAACCCTGATCCTGGCTCCTCACCTCGTATCTCCTTGGTGAACTTGACCCTCTGCGAGTCCGTGAGCGGCTTGGTCTGCTCGTTGATGTTCTGGATGTCCAGCACCTCGCACATGAACTCGATGACGGGCTGGGCGCGGTAAAAAGCGGTGGCCGACACTGTGGGAGGAGCAGAGACGTTAGCGAGCCCAGAACCAGAACCGCCACAGTCCTGGTCCCTGAACCAACAACCCGCACCGTGGCGGTCCACGGGTTGGATCAGCTTACCGTCGATGTTGAGCATCATGTTCCACATGGCGGGTCGGACGGACTGGTGGAAGCCGAACCACACCTCCCTGCCTCCACCCAGGGGGTGGTAGTAGCCCTCAGGAGGAGAGAAGAAGGAGCGTCCCACAGGAGTGTACCTGGGAGGGAAACACGGGCCGTCAGAACATCTGGACACGAGGAGACCTTCAATGGAAGCCTGGGAGCCGTCACGCCATTGGCGACTGGAGCGCCGCTCCGTCCGTTTTGTGTCTGACGTAGACGACTCGTCCAGGTCTGACTAGTTATGGCGGAAAGACAGAATTCATCTACATCTGATGGTGGAGAACCCAGAGGGCTGCTAACCTTCCCTCACGGGAGCCGGGACTCCCCCCGGACTCTCGGGGGCCACACTGGACTCTCGGGGGCCACCCTGGACTCTCGGGGGCCACCCTGGACTCTCGGGGGCCACCCTGGACTCTCGGGGGCCACCCTGGACTCTCGGGGCGTTCTGGCTGAGAACCTTGGACGATGAAGTTTCCTCTTCTGACGACGAGCAGAACGCAGCATGAAAGTAGAAGAATCTGTGGTTCTGCTGCCGATGTTCTCCTCCTCCCCCTCAGAACCACAAACCAACCCAGCATGGGGACCAGCTGGCTCCATGAGGTCGGTTCTCCTCTGGACCAGAACCAGAACCATCTGATCACAGTTAGGTTCTGGAACCTAGGAGGTCAGAATCCAGTCCTGGAGGTCCGGATCAAACCACCAGGTCCTTAGCAGAAGCAGACTGGACCAGGGAGAGCGGCGCCATCTGGTGGTTCCACAGAACCAGCAGGAACCCAGACAGTCCTGCTGTGATCAGGAGCCCTGGACTAAACCTGGATGCTGGACTTTCCTTCTTTATAACAGGAGGTGCTAACTAGCTTAGCCACATTAGCGCTTCTTCGCCGTTTGGGACAAAAAATACCAGAACTTCTGAGGTTCCAGGTCTAAATTCGCCCACCTGAGACCCAGGAGGTCCAGGTCTTTATTCGCCCTGAACCCTGGCAGCGGTTCTGGACGTTCAGTGGGACGGTCAGAGTAAAAGCTGGCGGGTTTTGCGGCTCGTTTGGACCCAGCTTACCTCATGGAGGGCAGGTGGCGCGTGATGACGTCCAGAGCCTGAACAGAATCCTCCGGAACCTCGTTCAGGTGACCCGACAGAGCTTCCAGCAGCATCTGCAGACTGACCACAGACACCCACTGCAGCGACACCTTGAAGGTCTGATCCTTCCCCTCTCCTGGCAGTGTCACCTCCAGGTCCACCTGAGCAGAGACCCGGCAGAACGTTAAGAACTCAGCAGAACCAGAACCAGAGTCCAGGGACCAGAAACCCACCCGGTCCCGTCCGATAGGCAGCGGATGGGCCGTGTACATGTTCCTCTTCCCGTCGTAGCCCGGCTGCCGGTCTCCAAAGATCTGCATCTTGAAGTGCCGCACCATGGTGTCCACCACCTCCCTGGAAGACAGACGGACCATCAGAACCGAGCCGTTCAGACCCGGCCCCCCCCGCTCCTCCCACACCCACCTGTTGACCCGGCGGGGCCGTTTCTCCGGCTTGATCTCGATGTCGTAGTGATAGACGTCAATCTTGGGGATCTGCACCTGGAAGTGGTTGGCGAGGAGCCGGATGGGTTTCCCCACCGTGCCGAGGCCGGGACGCCGCGGAGGCTGGAAGAGAGAGGCGGGGGCAGGCGGGCCTGGAGGGGCAGAACAGAACAGTCAGCGCAGGCCCGGTTCTGACCCGGACGCTCAGCGAGAAGCTCCAGAAACGGGGAGCAGGAAGTCATGTGGCTGAGGAAAGCTAACGGGTTCTGTTCTGTCCTGGTTCTGTCCGGGTTCTGTCCGGTTCCAGTCAGGGTTCTGTCATGGTTCCAGTCTGGTTCCAGTCCGGGTTCTGTCCGGTTCCAGTCCGGTTCTTCCCTGTGAAGCTGAAACATTCAGAAAGTTCTGGATTATCTGGATCGGTGCTGATCGATGAGCAAACAGACAGAACCAGAAAAACCCAAACGGACAGAAAACCGCTCCAGATGAAAAACTCTTCTGGTTCTGAAAACCAGCTTTAATGTCATCGGATCGGAACCAGAACCAGAACCAGAACCAGACCGTCAGGAACAACCCCCCCCCCAGCAGGGCCATATGGAGGGATGAGCGTCCCTCACTCTGCTAAGTTGACGCTCCAGTTAGCACAGACAATCAGACCCCCCCGCCCCCCACAGCTAACGAGCCGGACCCCCGATTCCAGCCGCCGTGTCCTGCTGGCCTGGTTACCCATGGCAACCCATCCCTTCTGTTGCTCCGCCCAGAACCAGGACGCCACGGTGGACGTTCAGCACCAACGACCTTCTTCCTCCTCAAACAGGAAGCAGGGATCAGCTAAGCCCTAAAGAACGGACCGGGCCGAACCAGAACCCAGAGCAGAATGGGGGGGACTCCCCTTCGCCGTTCCCTCTGACCTCTGACCTTCTAAACACGTCAGAAACGTTTGCTTCTTTCTTTCCTGAGGCTCAACAACCAAAGGTTTGCTTCCAGGACTTGTGGGCGGGTCTAAAGGGGGCATCAGGTCGTCATGCATCTGCCTTCAGCTTAGGCCCCGCCCCCTGCTGGCATAAAAACAGCAAAGTTGCCGTCATTCATATTTAGGACCTTTTCAGACTCATCTAGCTACTTTTTTTTTTTCTCCCCCATAGAAAGCGACCAATCTATAGACTTTCGCCGTCATGTTGATGACATCATAGATCGCTTCCGAGCTTAGCGTCTGTAGCTAACGGTTAGAGAGCGAGCTCCTCCATCCGACGCTGCAGCCTCAGATCATTCATTTAGAATCTAGAGTTTTTAATTTGAAAAACATCTTCAAACGTTTCCTTATCGTCACATTTGGATTCAGTCAAACCAACAACAACCTGCTGCTGGATGCATTGATTGGAGGCGGTGGTTCCTCCGGCTGAGGGAGCACCCAGGAAGAGGTGCTGATCTAGTTCAACCTTCACTGATTAAACGCTGAGGAAAACTGAGCCTTTTGAGAAAACCTGGATCAGAACGACTTCAACTGGAAAAGATTTAGTTAAAAACGCAGAAACATGATTTGCTGTCGTGAGCGACTCAGACGGCAGACAGAGTTTCACACAAACTCAGAAATCCAGCAGATCTGAGGTAGAGCGGAGCTCCTGACGTTCCCATTATGCTTCCCTACAGGTGGAAAAGATCCAGCAGAGTTAAACTAAAGCGTTTCCTGAACTGATCAACCCTGAAACTCCCGACTGTAGAAGCCAGAGCTGCCAGGAAGCAAAGCTGAGCCGCTTCATCTTCCCCGTTAGTAAAGAATAGAGGAATAGAGGGAGAATGCTTCACCTGGAGATGAAATCAGTCAATTTATTAAAGAAAGGAAACGGCTAATAGATCCGCTTCTCTTTCAGGATCTGAGCGCCTCTGGGCGCACTGATGTCTGGGACGGCGACCCCGGGAGGG